ACTTTTTTGAATTTGTTGTCTCTCAGTGCCTATTACAGTCTTCCTCTTCTCTCAGTTGAGACTTAATGATTTTCTCAGTTAAAGACAAAAATGAGGATCTGTTCTACTGTGGGTGTTTAAACAGAGCGGGCGTGTGTGTATGTGGATAGAGGGCACCAGGACTTCTTTTCTGGGTTTCCAAGAGTTGCTACCTGGAAAGAGCTGAGAAAAAAAGACAGCAGTTTAAATTTCACATCAGGTTTCTGAATATAACTTTCCAATGTCTCTTTTCTAGTTTTCTGTTATCTTCTGTCAGCCTACTTTCTTGTTTTCTCATCTGGCAGCCTCTTCACATGCATGTGAATGTCAATTCAAATGCTCCAGAAGCTGTTGTTTTCAACTTTTATTAATGTTTCCCAACTCATTCTCTTGTTTTTCTACTGACAGGCTGCCAAAATCGCCCTCTGGGGAATTCTAAAAGGGTCTGGGCAGCAGAAATTGGACTCAACATTTGTTGCAGTTAATTACTTGATCAGATCTTTGTCACAGAAAATGTTTGACAACCCACACATCTCTATTTCTTAGCAGCCCATAACATAGAACTATAGAATGTTTCTTCCTTAAGAGTAAGAAGCACATCAGTAGATCGTAGATACTTCGTTTAAGTGAGTAACATACTTGATTCTACACAATTTTTTGTTGAGTCTGGTGATTCAATTTAGGCTGGTATTTAGACCATGTCCAAGAGTCTACAACATTCCCTCCTGCTTTTAGGAATAAAATACTGTAGTGGTTATCAAATCTGAGTTTTTTCATCCCCAATGTCATTCAACATAGCATTACTGTTGAATAGCCTGTAACAGCCTGTCAAGGAATATTTCTGCCAAGTTCCAAACCTAGATCTCGAATGAAACAAAGAAAAAAAAATTCAAGAAATGAGCTAGAGTTTGTGCTCTGCTTACAATCTGTTTATGAGATAGGATTTCAGGAATTTAATAACTGCTGTGTGAATCCTCATAGATATAGACATGATCAATAAAGTTCATACTTTAAGTTTCCCAATTGTGAAGTGTGGTTGAATTTCATTTATGATTTTTTCCTAGCAGCTTGGGACAAAATATTAAAGATTTACAACAGACAGTCAATTTACAGTATTTAATTTAAATCATGCTGGAAAATTGTACAAAAGTTGAGGCCACTAAAACAAATCTTAAGTCAGTGTCAGAAAAAAAATTAAATCCTTTCTGAAAAAAACCCTGACATAAGAAGAAAATACAAACCAGAAAAAACAGGAGAAAAGGGAATTCAGTGGACACTGAGTGGTCTCTCTGACACTCCATCTGGGCTGCACAGACCTTAACACCAGACAGCAAAGGTGTAGGAGAAAAAGTAATAGTTGATTTTAAAAGTGTGGGGGAAATTAAATAATCATCATTGCAAAGCCCATCATATAGGAACTGGATAAGAAAAGGAACACATTGGTGCCTCGCAGAGGAGCATAGGGTTAAGGAAAGAAGAGCGGGTGTGAATATCTCATTCTAATATGAGACACACCTTACCAAGTTCTTCTGGCATTCTTAAAGACAGGACTTTCTCTTGGCTGTGGGATTTTAGTTGTTCAGTTACAATTGGAAGTAGGGAAAAAAAAACAACTAACCAACAACAGAAAAAACCCACAACAGAGCAACAACAAACCCCAAATCAAAACAACAAATAAAAACAACAACAAACCCCCCCACAAACAAATGAAAAACCGCAAACAAAAAACCCCAAATGAGAAGGAAAGAGAAAGAGGGCAAAGAAAGGGAAGTAAGACCTAGGCAAAGTGAGATTCTACAGGGCTTATGGTAACACCATCTTTTTTTCTGTTGATTCTTGACAATGTTACAGCTGCGCGCTGTTCCACCTGTTTGGCAGGTCTTTGCTCCTCACCTTGCTCACATTCACTGACTGCTAATTCTCTGGAAGGAAGGTAGGTTGCAGCAACTTGAAATAATTAATCTAATTTGTTTGTAAATTTATTGACCATAACTGTTTGGGTAAGTGAACTTCAGCTACAGGTTGCAATAACATCGCTGATATGCAGATTGACATCTAATATATTTTTAACTCATAAGTTTTCTTGTACAAACACTATACTACTACTTACAAGCCTTTCTGTCTCTGAAGTCTTTAACTAGGCTGCACATATGAACATTTACTGGAGTATTCTTTTAAACTTAATTTGCACTTGGCAAAATATGAAGCAGTTGAGGCTCAGTGCTGGAGTGCAGGTTAAAGTGTGTACTATGTGATTACTTTCTGCAGCAATGCTAGGGGTCTTGCTGTGAAGGTGAAGAAGCTGTGAGTCATTAAACAGCATCATTTACTCCAGAGTGGCACACATTTCCTGAAGAACATCTTGCATGAGATATCCCTTCCTCTGTGTTATTCCATAGATAGGAAATGCAGCAGTGAAACCTAAACTCCAAAGTCACACATTCTTATAGGTTAATGTTAAATCATCAGCATGCCTGTCTTCAAACATTAACTGATGAATCCTCAGAGCAGCCTTGTTTATGAAGCACTTATTATCTTTCTTTTATAGGCTGGGCAGACAGGAAGGCTTAACTCAGTCATTTAAGGCTCAGACACTGTTGGACCCCCCATATAGAAGGATTTCTGACCAAACACCAAACCCATAAGTTAATCTAAAAATAAGCCTTATAGAAGGAAAACAATAATACTTCATGGTAGGGTAAACACAGTCAAAATGAATAAATAATCACTTAACTGGAAGGCAGTGAAAAAATTATCTGTAAAAGGTTAAACAAAATAATGAAATACATTGTTTAGTTTATTAAGAAAACAAAGCCTTATATGTACATTAAATTACTGTAACCCTGGGTTTAGAAATTAATCCCTGTATAAGTTTAGAAACTGTATGGTTCCTTGAAAAGAAGGTATTTGCAAAAGGTGTTTGCAAGCATGTTTGTCTTCTAATAAGTGGTTGTGTTTGAGACACACACGTTGGTTCTAAACTTTAATATTGCATTTTAGGTCAAATTGCCTTCAATTACTCTGAAAACTAGTATTGATTGATAAAATCTGGTTCTACACTGAATTCAAGGGGGAATATTTTATTCATAAAAAAGAACAGAAAAACAGAAGACTACAAAATTATTTGACTAATTTGCCTACAAATTATGGAAGATAAGTCAGATCAATTAAGTAGAAAACAACAACAACACTCACAAGATGTCACCCACACAACTCCAGTCTTGAATCTTACAGCTACCCTATGGATACAACAGGATATCTTAATTTTTCCAGGCTTTTCCAGTGTTTTCTGTCTGCGTGTGCTGGTGAGAATGTTCAGTCTGCAAACACTTGACACTGCACCCTTCCCATATCAGGAAGGCTGAAGCCTTCATCTTGTTATTGGGAGACTCTACTAGGTAAAAAAGAAGAAGAGCCACATATATACATGTATGTGGACAATAAGACTGTCTTTTGGAAAACTTTTTACCAAACCTTTGACAACAGCTTGTTTTTAATCTTCATTATTTTCAGCCTTTTTTGTAAAAGGCAGAGTCAAAATTGGATACATTTGGGCTCAAGGTTACTAAAACATGTCACATACAAATTATAGTAATTTTTTTTTTAACCTCCCCAAACCTCCTCAAAATTTGCAGCCTTCATTTCTGACATTTAGGTTGAGTCGAAGTTATTTAGAAATTTATGTGCAAAAGATGGAAAGAGGAAAAAAAAATCACTGGTCTTCAAACTCCATGTTTCAATCAGACCAATTCCTTTTTTTCCTCTTAGGCCAAAATGATGCAACGGGGGAGCACAGACAACAGAAGGATACATCCAAGCACATTTCTTTGCAGGATCCTTGTGTTATCCCAGATTTTACAAGGTTCCTAATTTGTAGGACCATAATTTACGTCCCAGCCAAATAACTTTTTAACCTGTAAATCCTTAACTTATAAGAAGCCCTGAGCATTAATAACATAATTCCAGCTGGGCACAGGAAAAAAAACTTAAACTGAAATAATGATGGTCATTTTTTTGACTAGAAGAAGTGGTAAATTCTTCAGGAAAGTGCTCGCTGTTACATTTGCTTCTCATTTATTTTTAGCTCTATCTTTAAATATAGCCAGAAGGCTAAGGCTTGACTTAACAGTGTGAGCTTTTTAGACTGTAAAACAGTGGTTTTGTCACCAATTACACCATCCACAAACACTTCAAATATTAATCATGGTAGTTCGTGGAAAGTTGATGTAATGGCTGTCTTAAGGAAGGCCAAGAAATAGTATGAGTGGGAGAGAATTATCAGAGATATGGTACTATCAGAGATATGGTACTACCAGAGATGTGAGGGAAGTTGGCGACTGAGCAAGGGTTGTCAAAGGCTGTGAATGTGAAGAACACTTTGTTATGGCAGAATTATAATTGCAGCGATTTTTCAAATGTGAATAGCAAAACAACCACCTGTTAAATCATATTGATTTAAATCACAAAAGCTATTGAATTTTCCATAAGCAGCTGCATGTTCTGCTGTCATGTGGTTTTTAAAAGAGAAAGTAAAATAAAACTGTAAGAGACAAAAACTCTGAGAGAAACAGTGGGGGAAGAAAGGTATGGAACTCCCATATCTCTTGGGTACATATGTCTTTGCAGGCTAATTGCACTTTGGATTGGCTTGCTGCCTCTGAAACTTAGAAAGATTACTTTATTTGTCCCTTCTCCCCAATCTCTTCCACTCTATTATTTAAAACCTAATTATCTTATGAAATACTAATTGCCAAGCTGTGCAACTTAGTTTTCCAACCTATAAAGTCTCCATTATTGCCACTTGCCATTTTTGATGCAGGAAGGCTTGCTTTTATGAATAGTTCTCCAGCCCACCAAAGTCTAGAGCTCAGATACATCATGAGATCCCACATTTTTGCCTGAAGTGCATTTTACATCCCTTTTTTTCTTCTCACAGGCTTTGACAGAACAAGGAACCTTATATCAGATGATGGTGGAGATTCGGAAAATAAGATGGATCTAAAATAGTGTGCGAAGACCTTGCTTGAATACAGCAGATGGAGCTGCCTGCCCTGATGGTAAATAGCAAGTGCCTGGAACCAAGCAAGTATGACAGATCCTACATCTCTCTAATTTCCAAGATTTGTGGAACTACACAATGCACAGCCCATGAAACATGAAATGAAACTGTGAGATTTTAATATCCTTGAGTAGTCAAAGATAGTTTGCTTGTAGGTTTTCTCCCTTTAAATGTTATCTCCTCTCCTTTTCCTCTCTTCTTCACTTCTCCTTCAGTGGAGCAAACCACAACTTTCTGAAGGCAGATGGCCCCTGCACACTTTTTGCCTTTTAAATAGAAGTGACATAGCCCACATCCTGCACACTTCCAAGATAAGGTAAGCAAGGTAAGAATTAAAAGCACTGATATATTTTTAACTTACATCTGCTTTCATGTTAGTATTTTGGTGCTGTTACAGAGTGAAAAAAAGAAACCACAATAAAGCCTCAGTGTGTGGTATAGTTCTCAAGGCTATTTATATTATGGGTGGACCTAGAAACAGAGATCAGAGCCACACACACATATTTGTCTATCTATGCATAAATCTGGGCAGCTAAAGATTATTAAGATAGATTCATATTGAATTTCCAGGCACCACTTTAGATTCAGTATAGATGAATCTTTTGTGTATGTCTCTGCCAATATGTTATGCTTGTTTGTTTTTAAACACCTCCACAGTAAATCCCTTTCCAGTTCAGAGAAAATAACTTTTATCCAAGAAAAAATAAGCCTACCTAGGATTACTGAAATTCTAACACTGAGAAATCAAGAGCCAACAGCTTGGAAGGGACTATGTTCTGATACCATCTTCCTGTGCTATGGGTGAAGGGTGAAATAGCATCTCTTTTGAGAGCCTCATCCAGCACATTTGTCTTTGCAGAGTGTATTCTTAAACAGAGAAAAGAAGAACTGAAAGGCAGAATGAAGGATGAAAAATTCAAGGAGACTATGACCTCTTTGGGGTAAACTAATTTTAAGGAGAGATTTACGAGATGAAACATGCTTAAGTTTTCATCTGGAATATTATGTTAAATTTTGTTACATAATATTGTATTATCTTGGACAGTTTTTTGCAAACTACCGTTTTCTTCTTATTTACCTTTGACTTAAACCTATGTAGCTCTGTAGATTTCTTTGGTGACATTTTACACTGTGTAGATTACGTCAGCACCCAGCATTTGCTTTCTCTGACCTGCTCAGTTATCATATTTCCTCCATTATGAATCTCTGACTGATGTATTTACAGGAACAGTACTCACAGCACTACATGTGCATTGTTATTGGGTTAATCTGAGGGAGAGTTGACAGCATTGCAAAGTGCGGCACCAAAAAAAAAAAAAAAGCAAGCTTATAAGACCCTGAAATTAGCTCAGTTGGTTAGAGCCTGGTGCTAATAATGCCAGGTTTGATCCCTGTAGGGGCCATTCACTTGAGAATTGGACTTGATGATCCTTGTGGGTCCCTTCCAACTCAGAATATTCTGTGATTCTGTGAACTTTTGAGGGATTCTTCAGGATAACGGAGCAAAATCTTTCACTTTCAAAATGCAACTGTAGGGAAAGAAGCTGAAAAACAGACAACCCATGGTTCCTTGTGCATCTGCTCTGCCTGACTCTATACCAGCTCTACCAAATGCTAGATTATCTTCCTAACAGACCTACCTATAAGCTCAGCTGGAAATAGGAAATCCAAACTGCTCGAATGAGAATCAGTAAGAAATTGTGAAGCTGAAACTTCTGCTTTTCCAGTGGAATGTGTCAGTTTGTCACAATTAAAATGTTTCTCAGGAACAGCACAGTTTTAACCATTTTTTTAAAGTAGATATATTGTCTTGAAAGTAATTTCTGTTGACCAGAAACTCTAACTCAAGACAGCCGCTGTGAGGGGACCCAGTTTCTCAATGGCTCCCCATATCCATCTTGGAGATAACAGGTGCATTAGGCTGCCTATGTATTCAAGTTCTTTACTTATAGTTAACCAGGTAAGCAGATAGGTTTTGGTGCTGGTTGGGGAACCACGTTAGACTGCTTAGGGAAAACTTACATGTAATTTCAGTGTTTGAGCGTTTCTCTCAACCCTTATTTACATTTGTAAATAGGAAAAAAAAAGTAAGATTTAAAATAATTTTATATTAAATATATATTTCAATTGTCTTGTAAAATATTTTGTTTGTGTTTTATTTACTCTAGGACTTAGTAATGACTAATAAGCAACTAGAATTTTACTGGCAAGATGGTAGTTGACATGAAAGTCTATAATTTCTTAGTTTTCCTCCTTCCTCCCAAATTTTTATTATTGTGCTTGATGCTTCAATATTTTCCAGTTAACCCTGATGAGACATGAAACAGCAGTGGATGCATCTGCTGTTTGGATATCTGCTGTGTTAACAGTGTTTCTAGTAATTTGGTGGTGATTTTTTTAGGAATTACATCTTTTTGGAAGATACCACAAGGTATCTTTGATGGATCTAATCCTCAGCTAAATCCTGGTGACCCACCACTTATTTTGCAAACAACTGAGGTATATTTTACTCCTTCCCTATTTTTGTCACTCAAAAATGGTGTCACTAGGTGCTATACTCCAAAGTGAAAGAAATTTCTAATACAATTTTGAGTATGAGAGACTTCTTTGGCTGCTTACAGAATTTGTGAGCTTTGTTAAGAGATGGTTTTAGCTGAGAAACACCCTAAACCCAGGGTATTTTTCTGAGTTGGTAAAAGTACTCAAACTCCCAGAGATAATTCTTTTGTGCTGTGCCTTGTTGGTGAAGAAAGATGGAATATTCAGAGGCCTGGTCTTGGTGATTCTCTTCTGACATCCTTTTTGCCTAAGCGCAATGCTTTTATTCCTGGACTCTGCTTCTTGCAGTCCCCAGCACTTGTGCACATCAGCAATTTTATGAGCACTTCTTTCTTGTTACACTTGATGAGATAAAGGACAAATCCTTCCAAATAGGAAAACTCCATATTTTTCTCATTTAATTTTTTGCTAAGTAAAAGTTTACTGAAATTGATTTTATTCAAATGAAGACACAATAAAAAAAATAAAAAGAGCAAAATACATTGAAACTTCACATAATTGCATGGTATTTTTCAATGTCACAGGCAAGACTTCAGTTTGGGGTCAATGTATTGATTTATATCTACTGAAGATCTGGCCTGAAAAAAATTAACATGTATATATGCCTGTCAAGAAGTGGTGATCTTGTAAGAAAATATTCTCTGCTTGTTATCAAGACTGTAACTGTAGTAGATTCTTAATGTTGCACTTAGGAACCGTGTATTTAAAATTTACTTTAATACTTAGGCGTCTTCTGTTCAATAAACCAGCTAGTCAGGGGGAAAAATCTGTTTAACATGTTGGTGATATAATCCTTGTAAAGCTAACTTCTGTTAGACAGATGCTGCTAAGCACACAACAGGCAAGAGAGGAGGGAAAGAGAAAAGTTGGAAAATGTTGCCAAAATGACAGTAAATGTTAATGATCCGATCACAAAAATTGTCCTTCAAACTGGAGTGTGTAGTAAATAGCAATGAATAAATGTACTTGTCAGGAAGATTCGATTTGTCTAGCAAATCCTTACTGACATATACACTCATTTACTACTATATAGCCTTTTGAAAATGCCATTCCAGCAGAGCATAAAAAAGGTTATTTAGATTAAGTGTAGTAACAAGATGAGCAGCATACTGAGTTCATTGGACTACAAACACACTCATTTAATACCCAGTGCTCTATTACTCTGACTGAAGCTCTCCCTGAGAAAAACAATAGGAAAGAAACAGCAAATAAAAACAAGCATAATGATTTAAAAAGAAAAATATGATCTTCAGTGTAATGCTGTGCACCATCAGTATTTATATTCAGCCTCTGAATGATAGTGCTGGAAAAGGCATAGACATATTAGATGGTGAAAAAACCGTCTCCACTCCCGCCCCTTCCACACTTCCTGACAGCAAAATTGTGATAACTGAAAATTCCACTTCATGAGTACCATTTGAAAGTACCTCACATTAAAAGGAAAAGTCAAATCCGACTTTATGTGGCACTCTTAGGCCTACCTTCTTCGTTCAGAGGAATTACATGAGATGGCCACATTCTACATTCAGCTGCACTTTGACTTTCTTGAAAGGAACCTTAGATGGCAAAAAAAGTAGTTACACTTTTGGATTCATTAAAGCAATTCTAACATTTTATGATGTACCGTTGGCTTCAGGTTTAATGCCTACCTACCAGCTTGTATTTTTTCTACTCCTTCTTTTAACTTTATTGTCATCTCAAGTCAGTTCAGGTCTTTCTATATACAGTTTCTGCTATTATAGCTTCACATTCTCTTCCTTCAACCCAGCTTTTTGTCAGGAGCAGTTCAAGCATGACTGTCAAGTCAATCATTATTAGGATTGCTTCCTTGAACATGGACAGCGCAGATCTGACACGTGAAGAAACAAAGAACATCAAACTAATCCAAATACAGAGGCAAAGGAATGCAGGTTCATGTAGGCACCTGCCCACACACTCACACGTGTGTGTGCATGCACACACACACACACACATACAGCTATAATATAAACTATCAATCCTTTCACACTTGTGAGCACTGCAATTGCACACTGTGATAAAAAAATACGTGTAGAATTATCAGATGGCAGCATATAGATAATGTAGGGCTATGCCAGGGGGTTTTGCTGTTTCTCTTTATACTAAGGAGTAGTATATAGTGTAAAGATGCTTTATTGTGTTCCTTGCCTGGAAGTCTGATTACAGTCTTCATTTCTCCAGTGTATGTAGAACAGAGAGAGCAAAAAGGGTATTTCACTGAACCATATTAGCTGATAAATAATACAAGATCATGTTACTCAAGCCCCAGAATAAAATTTCTTCTCCCATCTACAAGACTGGGGGAGAAAGTTTGAAGCTGCTTAGCCTGCGTGGCCCTGAATGTTTTCTGTCCTATTCTACCCAGTAGAAATAAAAGATGCTTATTGAGGGGCGTCCTTCCTGCCTAGGCAAACTAAGCATCAGTTTATGCTCAAAGAATTCCCAGAAGAACACACAAGGAATTGCAACTGCATAATCTGCTTGTGGCTAGGAGAAAAGTGTAATTGTTTGAGCAGAATGTGTTGTTCAGTTGACTCATAACTATCTCTTACCTGAACAGTGGAAAACAGAGAACAACTTTCGGCTTTCACCTTCACAAAAAGCAATTACTGAAATTATTTCAGGGGATTAAGGAGGATTCCCTAGAAGTTTGCATGAGCTCATTATCCCCACTCTCCTTTTTCTTCTGTTTCTTTTCCCTGAAGTTTTTCCATTTTTTTAACCAGACACACCTTTCTCTTTTTTGTGGAAAAAACAATGCTGGCATGCTTGTGGCAGAGCAGAATGATCAGATCTGTTGAAAGGGCAGGAGGGATAGAGAGGGACAGGCTCCTTCTTCCTCCAGCTTTCTTTCCAGAGATTCTGCTCTGCTGTCATTCTGAGAAAGATAACCAAGTATATTGGCTTATGCTCCTATGAAGCCTTGAAATGGTACCATGCTGTGGCAATAGGACAATATGCACATAATCTTCAACCTAATTTTAAAGAGCTTAGTGTGTCTGTAGTTTACCTGCTCATGCTCCCCTGTACAACTTATTGGAAACTGGAGTTGTTTCTTTCTATCTGTAGGACTTCTCCCTTTTTTTTTTTTTTAACTGACTTTGGAATCAGTTCTATAACAAAAAAGACGAAACTGAATGACATTATGAAGCCTCCAAAATATGTTAATTGTTTGGTTTTTTTGGTTTGAATTCTTTTTTTTTTTTTTTTTTGGAGGGCCTAACAAAAATTTTTCATTGAAACATTCTTTTTATTCAAAAACTCATTTCTATGAAAAAAAAAGGTTTCAAACAAAAGTACTTTGACAAGTTACATTCATAAATAAAGACTCATACAAACCTCTTTTGTCTTGGGGATCTTTAAAAGCTAACCTAGGTATGATCAGATAAAGCATCTCCTGGGTACCTGGGTATGTTTGCAGGAGCTGAT